TGTTTATTTAAAATTCATTAGTGTTTAAAAAACTTACACCACTTTGCCTTAAATAATTTGTGCATTTTGATATTCATTCTCATTAAAGTATATGTTCACAACAATGGTCTAAGTCAGACTTACACCACTTTACCTGAAAGGTGGCTTAGTTCACTTTTACTTTCAAATGTTTGTGCTTGTGAATTAAAAAAAAAATAGATTAAAAAATATGACTTACACCATATTGCCATACCAGAGTAATTGAGTTAAATAAGCAATAAAAGTCAATATTGTTACAAAGATTTTTTTGTAGTAACACAATTTAAGTTTCAAGTACGTAGTAAATGCAAATGTGTTTCTAAAAATTGTCCTCAAAGTATTTCATAGAAATGTCCTCAATTATTTTTAATATGTTATATGCCATTGTAGTTCACTTGTTCTAGAGGACCAATGTCCTCGACACTATCACTGGTATTAAACACTGGTAATATGCATGATAAATTGGTGGTATGTAGGGCAACAGCTCTATCATGTTTTGTTTTTTTTCCTTTGTCACTGGTAGAGGAGCCTCATAGAGGCAAGGCTCTTAATTATGTCTTATTATATTTAATATATTTAGTGCCGATATACGTACGTATCAGTTTAATAAAAATGAATTTCAGGGTACTCTGGTTGTTATTATTTTACTATGTATATATTATTTATATATGTATTTAATAGATTTACTGTAGATTTATTATAGAACTAGCAGAGTACTCTGACTCACTGACTCACTGACTGATTAGGTATACAAATTCTAACATACTTCTAGAAGAGCTAGGGACCTGAAATTTGGTACGATTATAGGTCTTGGTCCTAAACCACCCAGAAAACTTCAAGAAGTTAGACTTTCCCATTTTAACCCCCCCAAAAAATTCAAAATGGCGGATTTTTTTTAGTACGAAAAAGGCGTTTTTTTATAACGTTTGTTGTGGTTTAACCGTTGGTCTAATCAAAAAACGGAGAACACTTACTGTATTTAGAATTAAACAAGCTACAATTTTGTAATTTTATGATTTTTTCCATCTCCACCCCTTCACCCTTATATTTCACTCTAAACATCAAAATTTGGTATTTTTTCCTCATGTTTTTTTATTCAAACGTAAGATGCGGCTCGACCGTAGGTCTAAACAAGAAACGGAGAGTACCTGGGTTTTTTATTTTTGACGATCTACAACCTTGTAATTTAAAATTGTTTTCCATCTTCACTCCTTCACCCCGAAATTTACGCTTAAACTTGAAATTTTGCCTTTTTCTCCTGTTTTGGGGGGGTTCGGCTGCCCTGGAGTAGGTTAAAAAACCTTTATGGCATGTTTGACCTAACAATTATTTTTACATATGTCTTAAGTTTATTTTTAACCGATTTTGGAATTTTAATCACCCTTCTCAAGCCTCAAAATTGGAGGGGATGATTTTAGTTTTTATGAAAATCCCGATTTTGAAGTTTTCCTTCAATTTAAAACTACACAAACGTAAGATTGTATAAAATCAAACTAATGTTTTTTATACAAATTTTTATAGTGTACATTTTGTTCCATTGCGCCTTTGACGTATCTTTCCTCCAAACCCCTCAAAAACCCCATTTTTATAGTTTAGTCTTTAGAATTTAAGGAAAAGCCCACTTGCTCTCTCATATTAGAGCTAGAACTTTGAAATTTGTTAGGGGGGTTGGTATTCGGTCCAAATAACCTTAAATGTTGTTAAATTCCTCATTTCCTAATTTAACCACCCCTTCATTGATTAAAAATACCACCAATGTTAATCTTATGGAGAATAAGCGTGCGGAGAATAAAATGCGATTTCAACCATATTGAGGTCTTAGTAACCATTACGTAACTTATTCAAGGTCGTAAATCATTTTTAAAGTGAAAAAGGAGCCATTCTCATCTTATGCCCCCCGCCTAAAAAATCTATATTTAAAAAAACTTAATTGCATGTACTGTAACACTGTTTCTAGACTTTAAGCTATTTTTAATTTGTTCATACTTCTAGAAGAGCTAGGCATTTAAATTTGCTACGAATAAAGGTATCGGTCCTTAACCACACAGAAAACTCCAAAAAGTTACACTTTCCTATTTTAACCCCTTTAAACAAATTCAAAATGGCGAATTTTTTCCCTCAAATAAGGTGTTTTTTTACAGCCATGTCTTAAAAACGCTAAGAACTAGAAAACATTTGAAAGAATTTTTATGGTCAGGCGTTATATTTTCTACACGATACTGTTACTTGTTTTTCGAAAATCTTACCCTTTCACCCCCAAAAAGTGCCCTACTTCCAAAATATTAAGAATTTCTCGGATTTTTTTACGTGTTTTTAATTTTAAAACTACTTTTCGGACATATGTGTGTACTTTTAATGCTCCCAACACTGAAAAAAGTCCCAAAAGTGGCATTTTACATTTGTTACTAAAAAAAAACTTTTAAATGGTGATTAAAAAAAAAAATAGTTCGTTTATGCATTTTGAGCCAATACGTTAACTCTTATGGAGAATAAACAAACTTCTAGATGGGCTAGGGCCTCGGAAAGCATCTTGAATTTTGTAGGATTATAAATCTCGGACCTACACCACCTAGAAGACCTAAAAAAGTTACACTATCAAACTAAGAGATAGCAAGATTTGAAAGAATTTTCATGGCCAAAAAAATCCTACAAAACACTCTCAAGCGTTTACCGAAAATCGCACCTTCATAAAATTTCATTAAGTACGTTGTTGTGCGATTTATTCCTATCTTGCCAGGCCCCATTATTATTTATTTGGCCATTGTAGGGTGGTGGCTAATTAGCAGTAGTCTATAATTCAATTTTACAGATTGAGTTTTAAAGGTTTATTATATTTTTTATTTACTCGTTTCTCTTACTTTTCAAATCGACTGAAAATTCTGTTTTAAAGACTGTACACCATACCATGTAATTTAAATGCTTAAGCGTTATTGTAAAACAATTTAATCAGTATTTAATCGAGTGCGATTATAATTCTTTTTAAACTTACTATTGACATGGGATAAACTTGTAGCTTGACCGATTTAGCGATAGAATCCGGAAATATGTCACCATAATATGTTTAATTTTTTCCCCTTACGCTTATATTCAGATAGTTTATATGTATAATACATCCTAACTAAATGCATAGCAATAATGGCGATTGCAATACCTTCCTGATCTAAATACTATTGTTCAACATTATACAGTGTCATTTTGTCATTTGTCATTTTGAAGTGTTCACAAAAACTTAAGGAATGGTGAAAACTAGAGGTCGCTATCTCTTCTCTATTCAAAATGGTAGCCCGTCAAATGTTGTGGAAAATCAATGGTAAAATTGTTAATTTTGGCTGCCATTTTGGATAGAGAAGAGATAGCGAGCTCTGGTTTTCACCATTCTTTAAGTTTTTGTAAACACTTCAAAATGATGTGTCACTTGATAGGGGTTTCTATTGAAACATTTTTAGTTGTCCCCCGAATTTCCCATTTTTGGGGGACACTCAAAAATTTTAAATGTAAACCCCCTTCAAGTGACACATCATTTTGAAGTGTTTACAAAAACTTAAAGAATGGTGAAAACCAGAGCTCGCTATCTCTTCTCTATCCAAAATGGCAGCCAATATTAAAAATTTTACCATTGATTTTCCACAACATTTGACGGGCTACCATTTTGTATAGAGAAGAGATAGTGACCTCTAGTTTTCACCATTCTTTAAGTTTTTGTAAACACTTCAAAATGAGGTGTCACTTGAAGGAGGTTTACATTTAAAATATTTGAGTTGCCCCCCAAATCCCCCCTTTTGGGGGGACACTCAAAAATTTCAAAATGATAAAATGAAACTTCCTGCTAAGATTCCTCGACCACCAAAAGGATATCTCTGTATATTTACTTGGAAAAATATTAGAAGGGGGGGGGGTCTTGACTTTTTATTCACCCTGTATATTTCTTACCAAATGATAACGCTAGAAACAATTACATTTTGTACAATTTTAATACTGCTGGAACACAACCGCCACCGCATCGACCACTAAGGTTTTCGTTCAACATTATATGTAACATTCTTAGCAATAAAAAACACTACGGTAGAAACAATTAAATGTGGCACGATTTTAAAACTGTTGAACACAACAGACGAAACAATCACTAAGTTTTAAATAGCTTATGACTTAACCACATCAGTAAGCATTTACCCCGAAATTATTGTTTTAAGACGGCCTAATTGCCCCGGTTTAAATCACCTCACTTATTAAAGTGGTCAAATGTATTAGTGCAAATTAAGTGTATTAGGTAATTTTCCATTGGGATTTCACTATAATTGTTATGCTGCGTACTCATTCATTGTTGCTAAGCAGACGCCGTCGACGTCATACCCCCACCACGGAGGAGGAGTGGGGACGCTTTCTCTTCGCCGCGACGCCGCCACCGAGCTCATTCGCTGTTCAGACAGGCACTGTATCGTACCGTTGTATTCTGCTCTTCGTCCTTTGATTTCAAAACTGCATAGTTGTTCACAATTTTTGCTGACTACTATAACTTTTAAGTTGTCAGTGATCTTTGATTGGTGTGATTTGTGGTTTTGGTTTAGTTTATTAGCCTGTGAGTTTTATAGTTGTTAGGTATTTTCATTAGTATTAAGTGGTTTTAGTTTACGAACCACTTTAGGTTTGTTTATAATATCTTTTAGTTTTTCTTTGTTAGGTTAATATTCATTTACTGGCTACTTTTATAGTCAGTGAATCATTTAATTTTTGTTTTTAGTTAGGGTAATATTCGTTTGCTGGCTACTTTCATAGTCAGTGAATAATTTAATTTTAGTTTTTTGTTAGGGTAATAGTAGTAAATAGTCAACTAGATTGAAATACTGCGTGGTTTTGGTTGTTATTTTTAGTGTTTGGTATGTTTTCTGGCTCATCTTTCGTCAGTTAATCCAAACAGTTACGTTCTAAGTAGTTTGTTGAACTAGGTTTTGGTTAATTTTGTTTTATTATTGTGATAATTTACGATGGCATTCAGCTGTGTCGTTAGTGGTTCGTTTAACCAGGGTGATCGTCAGCGATTCACTTATAGCAGAAATGCTCAATGTGTAGCTAATTCTGCCTGCGCACTGGCTTGGAAGTTTCTTGGCAAAGATTTCTCAACTTCTGCAATTGATACAATTTTAATTAGCGGAGATGCTTTATACAGATCTCTTCGCAGCGAGGATTGTGTTGGTGGTAATCGATTTTTGTTTCCTGACGAACTTCCAAGTCAGTTTGTTGTGGCAGATCATCAAGTTGCCATTGCAGAAATAAAGTATGTGTACGATGCATTGTACCCGCTTACTCGCGATCTTTTGGACGTTAGTATCTTTGAACTTTCTTGTGAGTTGGAAGTACTAATGCTGAATAAGTCCAATCAATTGGGGTTTTTATTCACTGGATTGAATGTAACGGTCGGGTTTTGGAGAAGTGAGAACCGCCTGTTTTTATTCGATCCACATGCTGTGAATGAAGAGCGCCAACACGATTTTCTTAATGACTCTAACAACTTGGCAAGACTGTTTACCTGTGAAAGTTACTACTCTTTGGCGTCATTGTTACTGTGCAATACAGTTTTTGATTATAATGCACGGCAGTTTTCTATCACACAAATTTCGTTTTGTTTGGACGATGGACCGCTTTCAGCCAATCTAAGCGTGTTGCACCTTTCGCAATGTCCCAGTCCTGATTTCCTCAATGAATGCACACACGATCCCGTTCCTCACTGTCCAAGTCCAGACTTCCTTAACGATTCTGCAGGTAGACCCATTCCACAATGTCACAGTCCCGATCCAAAACTGACATCTCTCAACCCAATTGTGGTAATATCACCTTTAAGAAAAATACAATCCCTTCCTGATCTCAATACTACCGTTAAAGTTGGTGGACGGCCAAAAAAACTAAAACGTGGTCGCCCCAAAATGCTTTCCACCACTAGAGAGGAACAAGTGCAAGCAGCTAAAAAAAAGTACACCGAAACTCATAAGGGGAAAAATCTATCCGATTCTCAGCGTTACCGGGAAAATAATCCCGAGAAAAGGAAGGAGACTGCAAAACGTTACAGTCAAACACACCCCGAAGTCCACAGGGAAGCTGTGCAGCGGTACAGCCAAACACACCCTGAAGTTAACAGGGAGGCTGTGCAGCGGTACAGCCAAACACACCCTGACGTTCACAGGGAGGCTGTACAGCGGTACAGTCAAACACACCCTGAAGTTAACAGGGAGGCTGTACAGCGGTACAGTCAAACACATCCTGAAGTTCACAGGGAGGCAGTGCAGCGGTACAGTCAAACACACCCTGAAGTTAACAGGGAGGCTGTACAGCGGTACAGTCAAACACACCCTGAAGTTCACAGGGAGGCAGTGCAGCGGTACAGCCAAACACATCCTGAGGTTAATAGGGAGGCTGTTGGACGATACAGTCAACAGAATCCAGAAGCCTCTCGGCAAAGAGTTAGCATTTTTCGGCTAAAAAATCCTATGCTTTCTGAGCTTCGTCATTTACCAGCTGCACTTGCTAGACATATTTTTCATCACGGTCCAATGGGGTCTTGGGAAGGGGAGCTGTTGGGAAATATTCCTGCTTTTAATCTGAAAAAAGTTAGTCTGTGGGATAATAGTATTTTCAAGTGTACTTACTGTGGTGCTCGACTTTTTGAAGAGGAAAAGTGTAGGAAGAAGTGGTGTTGTGGTCAAGGGGCAAACAACGTTCTTAACCTACAGCCTCTCCAAGAATCGTTTTACTCAGATCGCCGTTTTCTCGATAGGGCTCGTGCTTACAACGACCTGTTTGCGTTTTGTGCATTGGAAGTATCCGGTGGGTACAGGCACCCAAGTGGTCTTTCTTTTTTCAAAATTGAAGGGAGAATGTATCACCAGGTTTACAGTCTGTCTGACCCTGGTCAAAAGTTTACAACTAAAGCTGGAGACATTCAGTTTGTAAACCGGTCTCGTCTGTACCTCGATGACGGCGAAGAACGTCGAAATATTGCCTTGGGTAGATCGCTTGATGGTAATGTTATCGACTCTATTACTCAGTTTCTATCACAAGTAAATCCATACGTTGTTCATTATCGGCGTTTGGGCAGTGAACCAGCTGTCAACGCTCACTTGGATTTCCAAGTAACAAGTCGATCTACCCATGGTCCTGTTTTAGGTGACAGGCAAACAGGCGTTGAGGTGCACGCAGTTCTAAGCACCGAGGAAACTGTTTACGAGCCTCGCAAGCTAACTATATGGAAAAATGGATCTGGAAGACCAACTTCAATAAATTTGTTCAGCCCTCTCATGGAACCATTTCAATATCCTCTGCTCTATCCACATGGCACTTTGGGCTGGCACATAGGACGCCTGAACAATTTTAATAACAAATTGTCTCAGTACGATTATTCACGTTGTCTTTTACTATCAGATCCCCGGTTTTCACATCTCGGCCGGCTGTCCCAAGCTTGGCAGGTGGAAATGTATGCAAGATACGAGGATGAAAGGCTTAATTTCATTAAGTTCTCGCAGACTAAGTCGGCAGAAAATGCCATGAGGATAGGGCCGTTGGATGAAGTTGAGGCGGTGAATCGTGGCGGACGTCAAGTGGTGAACGATATTAACAATGATGAAACTGTTCAAGGGGAGGGTGGAATACAAGCTGGTAAAGTTTACCTCCCAAGTTCATTCACAGGGGGGCCGAGGTATATAAAATTTCGTTACGAAAATGCTATGGCTTTAGTATCTCGCCTCGGCTTTCCTACGTTTTTCCTTACATTTACCTACAGTGCAACTTGGGAGGAAAACAAAAAGGCTTGCCCTCGAAGCAGCGGTCGCAGTGATCCCAGCACCGCCTGCAGAGTGTTCTACATCAAACTTCTGGAACTCCTCCGAGATCTACGCAGCGGAGCTATGTTCGGTCGTTCTGTTTACATAGTCCACGTCATCGAGATGCAGATGCGGGGTCTTCCACATGCCCACATCGTGTTTAAAATCGAAGGCGATGGCCCTGTTCAGGCTGCTGACATAGACTCCCTCATTCGCGCTGATATTCCATCTCCGGAGGAGGCAGGAGGTCGATTAAGGGCGTTGGTTCTGCGGCACATGATTCACGGGCCTTGTGGTACAGATCACAGAACCGACTTCCCTTGCTGGGACACCGACAAAGGTAGCTGCTCTAAATTCTTCCCCAAACCTCCCTGTGAATCAACCCATGTAGACGAGAGGGGTTTTGTAAAATATCGGCGTGATTATGGTAATGAGGGGAGTATAACTTCAAGAAACAGATCGATTCCTGTGCATGACGGCTGGGTTGTACCGTATAACTCAGCATTGCTTCTAAAATATGAGGCACACATCAACTTAGAGGTAGCTTCCACTCGACGAGTGATTAAGTATCTATTTAAATATCTAATGAAGGGTGGCTCGCTTCAGAACGTCAAAGTTACTCCTTTGAGTAAACAAGACGATGAAGTCGAGCACTATGTGACTAAGCGTATGGTGGGAGCCAGTGATGCATGCTGGCGTCTCTTGGATTTTCCAATATCAAAGTCTGAGCCCACCGTTGAATGTCTCCCTGTTCATCTAGAGGGAAAACAGAATGCGTGTTTTCGACCTAACAACTTGACACACGCCACTTCTGGAGCTACCTCTGACTTGATCTTTTATTTCAATAGGCCTCGTGACCCAATGTTTGACAATTTGACGTACCAGTGTTTTTTTGAACAATACATTGTTCACAGCAAACGTCCAAGTAGTGCTGAGGTTTACGAACATCCAGACGGTAAGCACTTCTTAACTTCCAGAAAACGTGGCCAAAAGATCTGTCGACTCTTCTGGGTTTCACCAAACAGGAGTGAGCAATATTTTCTTCGGCTGCTGCTCATGATCATACCAAGCCGTGGTTACGCCGATCTGCTCGCTCGAGGTGGTGATGGTTGCACTACATTCCAACAAGTAGCACGCACCCTCGGTTTGGTTGAAGATGAGGACGAGTACCACCAGGCACTGAAGGAAGCTGCTCGATTTATGGTCGGCCCGAGGCTCCGCTCTTTCTTTGTTCTACTTTGTAACATGGGAGCTCCCGCGGCCCTCTTGTGGGATGCTTTCCGGGATACATTGTGTGTGGACCATTTGGAGCGGAATCCTCTTGATCACGACGTTGCTTTCAAGCTGGGCCTGATTGAAATCGATCGAAGTCTTCGCCGTCAGGGGTCCTGCTTGGCCGACCACGGTCTGCCCATTGTAGATGACGACACGACCGAATTGGGTAGGGAACTACTCATCTACGGTGAGAATCAACAGAGATCACTAGTAGATGAGTGGGAACCAAAGCTTTCCAACGACCAGAGAGTGGTGTTTGATTATGTAAGATCGATATTACATGGCCAGGTTGGTAGTCGGTCCATAAAACTTATCTTCCTCGACGGACCTGGCGGCTACGGCAAGACCTTCTTAATTCATGTGATCCTCGCATACGTTCGTAGTCTTAACAGGGTTGCTATTGCTGTCGCTAGCTCCGGCATTGCTGCTGGTAGTCTGCCTGGTGGCACGACAGCACACAGTATGTTTAGGCTGCCACTTGATCTCGGCGATGGCACTGGGTATTGGAACTTGACCAACGGATCTCAGCGTGCAGAACACATCAGAGCAGCCCAGCTCATAGTTTTTGATGAGGCCCCGATGGCTCACCGGTACATTTTTGAAATCATCGACAGATCTCTGCGTGACCTTATGAATTCACCTGAGCCATTTGGGAACAAGATCTTCCTCTGCTGCGGAGATTTCCGTCAGATCGCACCAGTTGTAGCTAAAGCTCGTACTTCAGCAGACATTGCTTGTGTATCACTGTGTGCGTCATCTCTGTGGTCAAGCTTCAAAATCTTTTCCCTGTCCACCCCTCACAGAACTTCTGGCTCCACTGCGTACTCTGAGTTTCTCCTTAAAGTAGGCAATGGAACAATTAGATCTGTTGATTTTGAAGAAGGCCGTGGCTGCTCAAGTCTGATTCCTTTGAGCGGTATTAGATATGTGACATCACTACACGATTTAGTTTACTTTGTATTCCCCGTTTGTGACCTGAGCCATACAGATAGAATCGCTGGCCGGGCTATTCTTTCAACCATGAACGCCAATGTCCAGCAGATCAACAACACTGTTCTCAACCTGACGGACGGCTTCGTTCATGAGTTGAGAAGTGCTGATTCTGTGGACAAGGAGAACGACGATGGTATGGATGTAGACGTTCACTTGTTGAACCAGGCTACTGGCAAGGGCGTGCCAGACCATGTCCTGCGACTAAAGATTGGCTCCGTGTGTCTCGTCATGAGGAACCTGAACATTGACAGCGGACTCGTTAACGGCACTAAAGTGATCGTGACCGCTATTAGACCTCGTCTGATCACAGTGCGACTTCCTGGACAACGCGATCCGATTTGTATTCCCCGGATTCAATTCGTTTTCCCGTTTGTCGAGGGGTCTCCGCTTCGCGTCCGCCGTCTTCAGTTTCCTCTCATGTTGGCCTATTCCATGACTGGCCACAAAAGCCAGGGCCAGACGATTGATCGTGTCGGAGTCGATCTTCGCAGTGACTGTTTCACGCATGGTCAACTGTACGTCCTTCTCAGTAGAGTCAGACATCCTGACGACATCGTTGTTCTGGTCCATCCTGACAGGGTCCACGAAGGAGTTGCCTATGCAAAGAACATTGTATACGACGAGCTCCTTCGTTAATTCCTACTTTGACCTAAGCAGTAGGCTAGGGGATCTGCTTCAACAAAACTCCCCGTCGTGATTTGACATCCATGGCAGTACGACAGGGGGTCTGCCTTAACAAAAGTCCCCGACCTTTAGTTTGTTATTGTGTGTTTGGTGTGTTTCGTGTGTTTTTGTGTGTTTCTTGTGTTTTTGTGTGTTTCGTGTGTTTTTGTGTGTTTTGTGTTACTGTTTGTGGTTCCGACGTTTCCCGGCCTCCCCGTGGCGGAACTGGATATGCCATACAGTTTGTGGCTAACTGACAGGGAAACAAACATTACATAATTGATTTCCATTACTATATTTATAAATATTTACTACCATCTTTTTAATTGAAATACTATTACTGTTAATCTATATAACTGTAAATATGGTTTCGACGTTTCCTGGCCTCCCCGTGGCGGAACTGGATATGCCATACAGTTTATGGCTAACTGACAGGGAAACAAACATTAGTTCATAGATATCTATTTTTTATACATAAACTACTGCTAATCCACTACCCCACATTATTATCATAGACTAAGCTATGATTTATCTATGGTATTATTAATAGGTATTCTTCTATTAATACATATACATTTTTACTACCATCTTCTAACTTAATATACCAAAACTTTCAATTTCAACCAATGTTACTTTCGTCAATAATATCACAATTCTTCATTAACTCTATAAACAATTTACTTCATTTACTATATCGATAATTATAAAATATAGTTCCGACGTTTCCTGGCCTCCCCGTTGCGGAACTGGATATACCATACAGTTTATGGCTAACCGACAGGGAAACAAACATTACTTAATCGATTTTAATTTATAAATATTCCTGCTTTGTTACAACTAAACTCTTATCTACTAATCTTTTTTTATCAGCCTTAAAAATGATTTTTTATAAGGGGTTCGTTAAGGTGGAGCTTGAAATTAACTTGCCAACCTCCTCTAATACTGGGTGGCCCATAAGTCAGTTGACAAATTTGCATTTAATGAAATGATACACAACAAAATGGAATACATGTCTATTATTAATTCATAACTCAAAAACAACATTTACTGTTGAGATGGAGGTTGAACATTCGGAAAACGTTCTACAAACAAATTGCACACATCACTATAACTATGGCCATGTTTCCACCATGTTTGCAAAACAAATACACGCTGTTCTGTTGTTAACATTCTATTCATTGTTTATCGAATAACTGAGTTATCATGAATAACTATCAAACATAACCTCAAACTAAACAACAACAATTACTAAACACAACTCCCAACAGCTGTGTATGGTACCAACTGCTAAAATTAAAAAAAAATTGCAAGCGTCAACTGACTTATGGGCCACCCAGTATATTAGTAAAATTGTATTTATACAACGTAATATTGTCTGTTCCACTGACTGCTTTGTTACAACTCTAACCTACTAATGACGACTAACAGCTAGGGGGCCTGGGGGCGGAGCCCCCAGCGAGCCAAAGGCGAGTATAAGTATAAAATGCTTATCGCAGTTGTACTCAAGCATTGCGTTTGCAATAAGGGAAAACACAGTTTGATAAAATTTGCTTTATTAAATGTACAGTATTCTATAGTATTACACATCTACCATAGCCATAATGTTCTACCACTTCACCTAAACAATAGAGAAAAATAAATTATCAACAATTCGCAAAATATCACAAATTATTCATGAAATGAAAAACATAAACATAACTGTAAACAATCCTACTTTGACAGTTCTCATTGTGAATCACAGGTTTTTGTTACTGCTTAGTTCAAATTAGCTGTTTTCATAAATGCAAATAAACGGTATCAGCATTCTGACACATACTTTCTCCCATAAGTTTGTCAACAACCTTTATAATGTGTAAGCGGTGAGAGTAAATATACGGAAATGGGATTTGTACAATTTTGTTCAGAACTTAAAGGAATATAACATGTTACATTTTTATCAAAATCGTTCGGGCCTTTTTTTGGGAAAATCCGATTTTTCTGTTATTTAATGGGGGTTTTATGGGAAAATGACATAATTTACAATAACTTTTCAACCATAATTTTTACAGAAATGGGATTTGTACCATTTTATTCAGAATTAAAAGGGCTACAACATACTAAATTTTTATCAAAATCGTTCGGGCCATTTTTGAGAAAATCCGATTTTTCCGGTTTTTTATGGGTTTTTATGGGAAAATCCCCATTAAAAATCAAAATTTCAAGAAAATGAAAAAAACGCCTGGAGATACCATAGATTAAAACCTACATACCAAATTTCATCGAAATCGGACCACAGGTGTAGTCTCTAGCTCTGTACACATCCAGACACACAGACACACACACACACACACACACACACACAGACATCACTTCGAAAACCACTTTTTTGGGTCCAGGGGGACCCAAAACGAATATATCCACTCAAAACTCAAACTCGAAAATTTTGACGAAAACAATACTTTCTCCATATACTATGGTATAGGGGGAGAAAGTAAAAAATATAGTGCTGCACCCTGTTGGTAAATTTTATAACTTTCTAATGCTTTTCAATATCATAGAACCAACTTTTAGTTGAAACAGCTGACTAAATTCTTTAATTCCCTTTAAATATGAATACTCATAAGGTTAACATGGGGAATTACAGAGCCACTGGGGTGGAGCCCGAAAGGATTTTTGAGATAAGAATATGCCTATATGTTAATCGGGAATGTAAGCTATCATCATGCCAAATTTCAGCCCAATCCGTCAAGTGGTTTATGCGTGATTGAACTTCAAACACACAAACAAACAAACAAACAAATACACAAACTTTCACATTTATAATATTAGTAAGATTATGTCTATAGTTATATAACCAGCTGTTAAAGTAGAATTAATTCATATCTACAACTGTTGTAAAGAATGTTACAGACGGTCCCCTTTTCTGATGCTTATTTCTTCTTCCATCATTTTTTCTCGAGCTAGGCACAGTTCACAGTTTTTTCCTCCTCCATTGACTTTTTGGCCCATTTAATAATTAAATGGAGTAAACAAGCTGAAGTTTGTTTATGCTTTGGTGTAACATTGTAAAATTTGTTCAATTTTGGTTAGTGTATCCATGACACGTTCAAAATAATTATTCAGCAGAATATTGTATTAAAGTTTTACAGGTGTAATAAGAACACTTCGGTCCAGTATCGTCATGAAATATTTATGAATTGGTGATGAATTTGTTATTTAAATAGAGCTTAGCGTGATAGTTTATACCCCTGCAACAATAAACCTATAAACCTCTAAATTTGTGTGGGTTGATTCTGTTACAATCTATGAAAACGTTCTTAAAACTATTAATATTCAGAACCATTGCTATAGTTACTTAAGTTGAAAATTAAGATAGTTTCAAGATGTAAGTAATGTTCAATCTTTTTTCGTAAAAGTTTGCAAATTGAAAGTATTCTCTTTGCCAAATGATTGTAGTTTATATACCAACTGTTATTTTAAGCACAGTATAAAACATTGGTAGAGATAATACAACTGGTTAATACGGTTGATATTACTGTAGGCCTACTGCATTAAGTATTCATTGACTATTGAAATTAATTTAACTAAACTAATTAGTTACACTACTAATAGTTACACGTACAGCCACAATTTTTTGTTTACATCACAGTATTTCGTTTGGCAACGGCTTTTGTAGTGAATTGAAATGTGGTAGATTGATAACGCAAAGACCTATTTTGAGAAACATATCATGTTTTGATAATTGTTAATTTCGATATGGCGGCAATTAAAACTTGTTATCTTAATTACTTATAAACTACATATGTGAAAAAAAACATACTTTCATTGTTTCAAAAGAAAATTTTATTAGAGTTCTAACGATACCGTGTTTAAGAACATTGGCTTATTAAGTTAGACAAAACGCATGTACATAAGTTACTGTACATCAGATGATTTCTGCGGTAATCGGGTTACATCACTGTTAGTTAGTTAAAACAATAAGCTGTTTGAATTGTTAATTTCACAATGAGCGCAAATACGTTAGTTGTATACAGTATCTTTTAATAACTCTTTTATTTATGAACTGATATCAAAAAAATTTGTTTACTTTGAGTTGTAATACGATTTTGTAAATAAACAGTAGTATGTTTACTTATTTTGTCACTATTCACGTTTTTGTGTTATTTAAGTTCATGAAATGTAAATGGCCGCTATTTTAGAACTGAAGTTAAAAACAAATTTGTCCTCAAAATAAATTTATGCGATATAAATCTAACTACCATATTTCAATTCACTAATAAAGCAGTTTTTTTTATCTGTGTGTAAATTACTTACTCGATTTATTGTTACCTGTACATTTTGTTAACAGAGATTGATACATTCAAATAGAGTTAATGGATTGTAACATGATGTGAACGTAGGAACCCTAATGCGACAGATCTTGAACCGTGAGTACGCCTAATTTCCGGACTGGAGATGCCTGCTGAGTAATAACTTCCTTGCATCCGTATTTCATTGCTTGTACATAATTTGAACAAACATCATTTGTTCCTAGTAGTTCGCTAATACGCAGTATACGCAGTAGTAGTAGTAATACGCTACAGCATCGGCACAAGTAACTGACCTAAGTAGATGTGTATAATAAACTATAAATAAACGTGTTTTATGCATATTCATTAACACCTCAATAACCATTGTACACGTTTTGTAAACAAGTGCTAAGATAAAACAATACCCTCTTCACACAATATTATACGACCCATACCCCAAGGTTTTCCTCCTTTTAACAGAGTCTAAGAGCTATGGCAACAAGCAATCATGGTGAAATCACATAATTTCTTATTTCTATCTTCTCCAAAACTCTAAAATATAAGGAAATAACAAACCACGTTAGTAAGTTGTTGAATTTTTATTTCAGTTGGCATCGTCGACAACAGTAAGCAGTGGAACTCAAGAATACAATTTGACCGTTACAATATATATATTAATAAATAAATCATTGTAACATGATGTGA